TGAGTCTATCATTAAAATTATTAAAATAAGAGTCTGCATTCTGAAAACGTAAAACGTACAAAAATTTGCATTCGACCACTGCGGTTGTCTCTTCTCTTCCCGCCACGTCCTGCGCCAACTTGCCTGTAGTGGCTGGGGGCTCTTGTGGTGACGCGACCGGAACTGAGTCCTCCACGTTTCCAAACCTCAACAAAGCATTTTTGGTGGGTCCTGGCTATGCTCCAGTCCCGTATAAGCTGGTTTCTAAAATTACAGCAGGGCATTTTGTAGACTTGGCTGACCTACTTCCGGACAATATCCGAGCTCAAGAAATCGAACCCCAAGCGTTTCTGGAGGGAAAACTGGTGGTATCAGGGTCTAAAAAACCGGTCATCGAAATAGCAGACATCGTCACCTGGATAGAAGCCTTCACAATCTTTTCTATGATTCTTTCCCACACCTTCCCCTCTCCCTGCAAATCGTGGCTCCACTACGACATCGCCTTCAGAAAAGAAGCCGCAGCCTCAGGTTCAACCGAATGGTTTCGCATGCACCCAGACCTCTACAATTTTCACACCAGATCTCCGGTTACCACTTCAGCTGCTTCAGGTTCCTCAACTTCCTCTGCCTCGTCACTAACAGAGCCTCTCGGGTCTTCAGACAACCCCCGGTCTAGCCAGTATTGCCACTCCTGGAACGATGGGCGCTGTCGCTGGCCCTTTGGTCGCTGCCGGTTTCGTCACTCCTGCGAATCGTGCCATGGGGACCACCCCCGCATCCACTGCCCTCACCGGTCCGCACGGAGAGAACGGTTCCGCTCCCCATCTCAGTCAAAGGGGGGTCACCGCCGCCGCTAGGCCACCTCTAGCCAATTCAGCTGTAAATAGTTTTGTTTCTGTTCACGCTGGTTCTCATGGTAACTTTTCAGCGTTAGAGCTGCGTTCTCCTTTTTTTTACCTTCTCTGCAGCAGGGTCTGCCAAGTTCCAGTTATTCGTTGTGTTCTCCAGCTGTTTGTCCTTTAAGACCAGTTTCTCAGCTTACTCCCATTAATGTGGATAGATTCCAGCATGAACTCTGTCATCATCCTAACCCAGACAAAGTTAAATACGTAGTCCAAGGCCTTCGCGATGGTTTTCACCAAGGCTTCAATTAAAGTACTTCCCTGAAGTCGGCAACGGGGAATATGGCGTCAGCACCCCTAAACCCTCTGGTCATCGACAGCTACTTGCAATCGGAAGTTCAGACAGACAGGGTGGCGGGCCCCTTCTCCGAGCCTCCCCTCCCTTTCCTCCATGTGAGTCGTTTCGGCGTCATCACCAAACGCCACCAACCTGGGAAATGGCGTCTTATTCTGGATCTGTCTAGCCCTGCGGGCCACAGTGTCAACGACGGAATTGTGGGCGAGGATTATTCTCTGCAGTACATGAAGGTAGATGACATTACTGCGGGCATAATGCGGCTGGGGCGGGGTTCCCTTATGGCGAAATTTGATGTGCAAAATGCATACCGCATTGTGCCAGTCCATACGGAAGATCGCCAGTTGCTGGGTATGAAATGGCGTGGTGCCTTTTATGTTGATATATGGTCTTGCCTTTCGGTGTCAGGTCAGCTCCATACATCTTCACATGTATAGCAGATTTAGTGGAGTGGGTGGCCAAGCAAAACTACGATGTCACCTTCCTGATGCATTACCTTGATGACTTCCACACTTTTAGCCCTCCCGGCTCCTCTGTCTGTCAACACAATGTGGACAGGTCAATTGACTGTTTTTCTAAGCTTGGCATCCCCCTGCATCCAGACAAACTAGGCGGGCCATCGATGTGCCTAACCATCCTGGGCATTGAACTGGACTCTCTTTATCTGCTGGCACGACTTCCTCAGGACAAATTTTATGGGATAACTCCATTGGTCACAAAAGCGTTGGTGTAAACGCAATGAACTGGAGTCTCTAATAGGTCATCTTCAGCATGCCTGCAAAGTCGTAGCCCAAGATCGCTCATTCTTGCGCCGAATGATCAACCTGCTATGTGCCTTTCGACGCGATGACCACCCGATTCGTCTCAATCAAGAGTTCGTGTATGACCTAGCCTGGTGGCAAGAGTTTTTCCGGTCTTGGAATAGTTGCATCTTCCTTCAGTACCCCCAGTGGGCTCCACTTCCTGACTTCGAGGTTTCTTCAGATGCCTCTGGGGCTCTTGGTTACGGAACAGTCTTCCAGGGTCACTGGTTTTCTGGTGCATTGCTCCCACCACAGGTCTCTCAGTCTATCGAGTACAAGGAAATTTTCCCTATCGTCATGGCAGCTTATCTCTGGGGTCCCCGGTGGGCTTCCAAACCGGTCAACTTCCTATCAGATAACCGCTCAGTGGTGGACATTCTGCGGTCTGGCACTTCAAGAGCCCCTACCATCATGTCCTTGGTTCGGTGTCCCTGTTGGCAGCTTGTCACTCCTTCTAGTTCACTGCCTCCCCAGCTAGCCCATTGCTGAATCCCTGTCTCGCTTTCAGTTTCAGCGCCTTCGCCGCCTAGCCCCTCATGCAGACTCCATTCCAACCCAGATTCCGCAGCAGCTCCTCTCGGACTTGGGACTTCGCTGTCAGATAAATGCCACTTATATTTGACTCAGGGTCTTGCCCCTTCTACTATGCTTCTGCCCAACGCCGCTTCTTGGATTTCTGTGCTTAGGACAATAGCCTATCTCCTTCGGGATCAGCTCTTCCAGCCAGTGAAGACGGGTTCATCCGTTTCTGCTGTCATCTTGCTAATAATCTCCACCATTCATCCGTGAAGGTTTACCTTTCAGCAATCCGGTCCCTTCACATTGAGGAGGGTCATCCTTCTCCGCTGGTTGGTTGCCTTCGGTTTCAGCGTGTGTTGCGGGGTATCAAACGTCACCAAGGCTCAAATAGGCGTCAGCGCCAACCCATCACAATCGAGCTGATGCACATTATCTTCCAGTCCTTGAACTTCTCTGACTACAACCTTATAATGCTGTGGGCTGCCTGATGTCTCGGGTTTTATGGTTTCTTACACGCTGATGAGTTCCTGTCAACTCCCCCTTCAATCCTGACATCCCCCTTGCTGTCAGTGATGTCTAAGCAGATTCCCTAGTCAATTCAAGCAGCTTCAGGATTCATATTAAGCGCTCTAGGACAGACCCCTTTTGCCAAGGTTGCCATATTTACATTGGTGTTGGTGAACGTGATCTCTGCCCTGTACGCACCCTTACCCAGTATCTACACGTCCGTGGCTCAACTCCTGGCGCACTCTTCCTTCTCTCTGATGGCACCCCTCTACATCGCCAATGGATGACATCCAATATTCAATCTATCTTCTCCGCTGCTGGGGTCCCTGGTTGCTACACCGGTCATAGCTTCTGCATTGGCGCTGCTACTTCAGCAGCCTCTCGTGGCTTACCAGATAACCTCATCAAGACACTTGGCAGATGGTCCAGCGATGCGTATCAGATCTATATTCACACTCCCGTTAGTTATATCGTGGGGGTAGCAGGCCTTCTCACTTGACACGTATTTCTTGCGTATCTTTCCCTTTTCCTAGTTGTCCTTGTAGGGTGCCTCGGGACTTGGGTAGTTCGGGGCCAGGGCTTCCCCAGCCCTGGGCCCCTCTTTCCCTCTCCGATCTGGCTGCGTCAGCTCGGAGAGTCCCTTCGGCTTGGAATGGGGGCTCATGGCTGGGTTGCGGGGATTTACCAGCTATGGGGGCAGTTTTCTATCTAGAGGCTGGCTGGCCACAGTGGAAGCCCCTGGGTATCCCAGGCACCCACCTTCCACTTAAGCGAGGCAATTGGTTAAATTTGGTTAAATGTAATTTAACTAAGTTAACCACCACGAGCTTAGCGGTCAAGCGGTCCACAAGCGTAGCGGTCAAGCGGTTCACAAGCTTAGCAGTTAAGCGGTCCACAAGTTAAGCGGTCAAGCGGTCCACAAGTTTAGCGTTCAAGTGGCCCAAGAGCTTAGCGGGCATCCAGCGGTCAATCCCATAAGTGCAGGCTCACATGGTTTGTGGTAGCTTTGTACACGGCTAGGATATACAAGTTCTTCGTCGAGCGTTTGTGCAGTTGTCTGTGGAGCGGTTCATTTAGCGTCTCCCCCCCCTCCCATCCCTATTTTTCTTCCTTCCACTGTTTCATCGGTGTGAAGGGTGCCTGGAATGGGGTCTCATGGCTGGGTTGCGGGGATATTTGCCAGCCATGGGGGCAGTTTTCTATCTAGGGGCTGGCTGGCCACAGTGGAAGCCCCTGGGTATCCCGGGCACTCACCTTCCACTTAAGCGAGGCAGTTGGTTAACTTGTTTTGTGTTGTCGTTTTTTTATGGCGGAGTGATGGGGTGAGGTGAACAGGTGACCAATTGGCTTTACTTTATTCAGTCTTCATTTGCTCTTCATTCACTTGACTTTGAGTTATCCCGTATAAGTCTTAGCGTTTCTTTGGACTCTTGATTGTATTATTTTTGCGTCAGTCTTCAATCACCGTCGATGTCCGCAGGTCCACTCATCTCTTGTTCATGATTTCCTGATGCACTTTTCATAGTCTGGAAGGCTTCGCCCGAAACACTACGAGCAGAGCTTGGGGGAAGTGATTGACTAGTCATAAGCTTCATGGGTGGGGAGGCTGAGTAGTTGCTCCTTGGACTTGGCTGTCTAGAGACTCAGTACAGGCACCTTGTAACAGTTAAGAGTCAGGACCTTAATCTCACTAACTGTCAGTCACTAAAAATTTATCGATGTACGTTTGAGCAACTTGTTGTTCTGAGTGAGTTTTGATTTCATTGAGCTGAAGTAATTTGTATTTATAACTTTTCAAAGAGATTGAGCGGTTTCCTATTTAATAAAGGGAACTTATCCAGTAATTTGCAGAGACACCTAAATCTGTGGAAGATTGTAAATATATATATTCCATTTACATCTGTAACTCAATGCGATATTCTAATTCCATGGTCTAATTCCTGTGAATTTCATGGAACTCCATGGAGATCAGTGGAATTGGATGCACTAGTTTCCATGGAATTTCGTGGAACTTTTCCATTGAATTCCATTCAAATTGATGTCGTTATCCCTCATGGAATGCCATGGAAATCGATGGAATTCCATGGAGGTATTTCTTACGGTATGTACCAGGGGCACCCAACGACAATTTTCGGAAAATATCTGCTCGGAAGACGATTTGATATCTAGAATTTTCGGAACATTTTTTGTAAAATTTCTTGCTTGCCTGCCTCTCCTAGGATTTTCGAAAATCTAAAAAATGATTTAATTGCCTATTTTTAACGGATTTTTACCCTAAAAAGGTCACCTAGAATTTTCGGGAGCCTTTTCTCTGGCTGGAATTTTCGAACAGGTAAGTTTTGATCCCTATAATTTTCGGATCATTAGACTTTAAGCTAGGAGGTCCGAATTTGCATAGAGAGTTGCGTACGGTCGTACTTTCTTTACTCCGCGATAATTGCTTTAATTTCTTAGTGAATCTTGTTTTCCACTCAATTTTTGTTATTGCTATTTGCCATTTACGACTCTAACTAAATTAACTATGCCTGAAACTCGTACCACGAAGGCTGCTAGAACTCAAGGAGCTGATTCCGCGGGATCTGAACTTGTCACAATGGCGACACTGGGGGAGAGGTTGAAAGTGCAAGAAAGAATGTTTAAGAATTTATTCGACTCACTGTTGGCCAACGTAAACGCACGGCTAGATTCCGTCATCGGCCAAGTGGCAGAAATCAAAGCTAGACTAGATATTTACGAGAAAGACACTAGCGAATTGAAGGTGAGCCTTAAGTTCTCCCAGAAAGATATCAAGGACTTGATACCATGCTCATCCCGACTGCATGAGGTCGAAGAAGAGATTGAAAAGATGTGCGGTTCCCTCGATTACCACACTGATAAGATCGAATATCTGGAGAACCAAAGTAGAAGGAGTAATATTCGAATAGACGGCATTCGAGAGCAAGAAGCAGAAACCTGGGACAACACCGAAACCAAAGTAAATAAAGGAGATACTCAAAGAGAAGCTTAACCTCGATGAAGAACCGGATATCGAGCGGGCTTATCGAGTCGGCAGAAGAGCAAATGCTACAACCGGCTCCGTAGAGACGTCCAAGGACCATCGTTTGTCGCCTCCGCGATTGGAAGCAAAGAGAACAGATCATCAGAAGTGCAAGGAGAATCAAGCCCCCTGGAATTTTTTCTCAATGAAGACCTGGCACAAGAAACCCTTGACAAGAGGGAAGAGCAGCGTCCTAAGTTTGAAGAAGCGAGAAGAAACGGGAAAATAGCCTATTTCGTTTTAGACAGGCTGCTTATTAAAGACAGAATTGAGCGTCCCAGTTAAGTAGCTGTGTAGTTTTGTGCTTTAGCTTTCTATAATATTTATAGTACGTATTTATATATTTATTATTTATTAGCCATGGCTTCGATTCCTGATCACACTTAACCTTTTAATGCTTTAGACGATTATAATGATTTTAATGATCCTGAAAGACTTTCCAGCCTAAATTACGATCCTTTATTTTCAAGTTGAGGTAAAGGAGACAAATTTTCTAGGCGTAATTTTGGATGAAAACCTAACTTGGAAGTCGGAAATGTCACACTTTGCAAGTAAATTGCGAAGTCAATCGGTATAAAATCTAGATGCAGCTTCTTTCTTCCTAAATCGTCTTTACGTATGCTCTACTATTCCTTAATTTATCCTTATTTTTACTACTGCAATATCGTTTGGGCTTCGACCTATAAACCAATCTCCGCCGCCTTGTTATCCTGCAAAAGCGCGTTATTAGAATTATTAATAAATCACATTTCAATGCTCATACTGAACCCATCTTTAAGGACCTCGGTATACTAAAATTTAATGATATCCATTTGCTTCAACTGCGCCAATTTATGTATTCTTGCAAAAATTCATTCTTACCTCCAAAGTTTAATAACAATTTCTCTCAAAGCAATCAATTCCACTCTTACAATACAAGAAATTCCCAGGCCTATCGTCTACCGTATTGTCGTACAAACACGAAGAAGTTCTCGCCCTTTTTTCAAGGGCCTAAGTTTTTTAATTCACTTGACAACAAGATCATCAACTCTCAATCCCTCTCCTCTTTTAAGAAAAAACTGAAGATTAAATTATTGAGTAAGTATGAAAACAGATCAGTCTTTCCATCTTCCACTTTTCGCCTTCTTTTCTTCAATTGATCTGAAACAGCTCTAGCTCATAGTTCGAGGAGGCCTAACCTCTCATAAGCTCCTATAGTTTCTGTTAGGTCTCCTCGCCACTTCTTTTTTTCTTCTTTTCCTATATTTTTTGTAATTATTGTGTGGCAAATAAAATAAAATAAAACAGATGAGAAATATTTAGGGGATAAGAATATGCCTATATCTACCGTTTAAATACTAAAATATGTTTAACAATGCTATATTTAAGTGGTTTTGAATTATAATTCTCGTTGGGTGCCCCTGATGTGCCAAGTTATTTAAAGGGGCTATGTCACGCTATTTTCTACCTTTTTAAAAAGCTAAAGCGTGTTTTCGAATCAATTGAATTCCAAGAATAAGACTATATTTAGGCATTAAAACCGTTTCCTGTCGTCTGTTAATATGGATGGCAAGGATGATTGAAACTTGAAAAAATGGCCAGCCTTTTCAATGCAAAAAATGACCGAAAAATAATTATGGCTGGTGCTGTCTGATAAATTTTGTTTGAGACCTTCTCCATAAATCTAAAGGAGCATTTTGTATAAGTGTATAGGCACTAAGTAATGACTGCAGCACGTAATATTTCTAAAAACAGCGATATCCTCGAGACAAACCCCCTTTAACACCAGGATAAATTGACTACTATATGATTAAAACGCCCGATCACTGTTGTGGGAAGTCAAATCTCTTTCTTTTTTCCACGAGCTTGACGTGGCGAGTGTTTCACCTTTTCCAAAACGAAACGTGTTATTATTCTCTTGTCTTAAAGCGTCAGCGTGTCCAAGTATGGCAATCCTGACAGGGACTTCAGGCATCATCACAAGTCCTTCTTACCCGGGAAATTATGGTAATAACCACAATTGCAAATGGAAAATCATGGCAAGTACAGGAAATCGCGTCAAGTTGGTCATTCAAGACATGGACATAGAAAGTTGGACTAACTGTCCCTTCGACTATATACAAATTCAAAATGCTGTCATATATAGTAGTGGTGTGCTTCCTGGGCGTTTATGTGGTTCACTCACCAGCAATTCGACTTTTTCTTCTTTCAACGAAACCTTGATTGTACGTTTTGTTACTGATAGTTCTGTAACAGCCCGTGGATTTATAGCAAGATACACTGTTATTCCTGGTAAGTAGAAAGAATTATGTTTTGCAGTGCTTTGCGCTTTATCCAGTATAGTATGTTGCGCGGTATATGGGCACAATCGCTTGTAAACACTAGAAATTTTTGTTTGAGCATAGACGATTTCTGAATTTTGTCCTGAAAGATAGTCCTTTACATTTCTCTTAAAAGGTTTCCACTTTGCTCAATTAAGCATATGTAAAATCAGGGGCATACCCAGCCATTTTTTCCATTTAAGCCTGATTTGAAGAGGTCTTGAGAAAGCGAGGGAGGAGAGATTCATTCATTCATTCAGTCGTTCGTTCGTTCGTTCGTCCCTCCCTCCCTCCCTTCCTCCATCCATTCATTCAGAGAGTTGTAAAACTTTGGAACTTGAATGTAAACGGTGCTGGTATTGGTTCTGCATGGCGATAAAAAAGAGAGAGATTGAGCACTCTTAGTATTATGCATTTGATTGCTCATTGAAAAAACGTTATTGAATTTTGAAAAGAGTGAAAACATAAAATGGCCTAATTAAAACAAGTGGATTTCTTGAAATTTCAAGTCCTTTTGCTTCTTGAAGATCGGGTCAGTATGGGCTTCGTACCTAGATTTATATTTTCTTATTTATTGCCTATGATGTGTTGAGGACTTAGTAGAAAGCAAAGTTATCGCCTAGCCCATAAACAGTTTTCAGAGGGAACATGAAGAACAGCGGGTCATCTTTGCTCAAAAATGTTGTGTCAAAAGAGTAATTAGCAGTGATTCGTCAACGAACGGGTTCTTTTAGTTAAAAAAAAAAAATAACCGTGTCACAGTCACACCTTGATAAACAGTTTTGGAATTCTTTATAAAGAACTCTGTTACACTCAAGTGCATCTGCTAAGGTCAATAGGGACGTAAGTGTCTCTTTAGCACTTCATGTCTCGCTTGTGTGTGCTAGAACTAGGGATTCCATCAATATCGACGATCGTGCGTATATATTATTATATCTCAGAAAAACGAGTTCTCAAAACGAGTACTCAGAGAGTAAAATGGCAACTTTCTCAGGTCTTTGTAAGGTCTTCAGCTGTTTCGTCCTTTGTATCTTCTGAGGAAGAGATTCTAATTTGTCACAGAAGAGGGATAAGAGGCAGCCCGGTTCAGTTTAGATTTAGCGAGAATACGGCTCTTCCGACTATGAAATTTGAGTTACTCTGTTTGCAAAATAGAATTGCAGAGCGAAGCTAGTTCTTAAAGGGACACAGTCAGCTGATGCAGATGCGCATTAGACGCCATTTCATAGCTGATCTGCATGAAACAGAAGTGAGAAGCGTATCCGGAATACTCTAAGCAAACCTTGTAGAGTTGAACTAGTTGCAAGCCGAAAGCGTGATTATAGACCCTAAGCCATATCAGAGCACTCATTTTTTTATATATATACCATTGAGAATTCACCGATGGATTTGTCCAGACATCGACGAATACTTTCGAACGTTAGTAGAGGTGAGAAATTACGCGAAGTCTGAATCATTGTCGAAGGTTCAAGGCCTAGAAAGATTGATTCTCCACGTACACGTAGCTACTTACATCGATTTTCCAAATATATAAAATGATTATTTGCTCGCCAGTGTATTTGATTCATTTCTCTTGTTATTTTGGTAAACGAAGGCGATTCCTCCCGCCCGGCGCCTACGCGTGTTCGTGTTCCTTTGGATACCGTTTTTAACCAAATATGATACAATATTGTAAAAGGAGGAGTAAAAAAAGAGGTTTCAGTAAAAGATCGAGGATCTAATAAAACAGGAGCGGATTTCTAGATGTATCCGACGCGTACATTTAATTTCAGGTTGAGATAAACGCTTTTCAAACTTGCAAAACTAGTGTCCAGGTCAGCGCGGTCCCATAGCTGACTGTGTCCCTTTAAATCGATTTTTAAGTAAAGCAAACTAAAGTAACGAACCATTTAAATGGAATGTTTCGTTCGAAATTGCGTTTTACATCGATCAATGCAGAGTAAACATAGTTACCTAGAGCATGAAATGAAATATTTTTTTAAGGCATTGGCTAAGGAGCCAAAAAAAGTGGTGGCCTTGTGAACACACCCGTTTTTTCAAGTACCCAAGCTGGAATTCGGGCACGCTGCCGGTGCCCGAGTACAATTAAGGACGAGCTCGGGTAAAAATTAGGTACCGGTAAAAAGATTGTAACTTGACATTTCTTTACCCACGGAGCATTTACGAGTTCTCAAGAAGTCGTCGAAATGTGTCCGTGCGTTCCAGATCGAAATGGAATTTGGAAGTGTTTATTTTTGAGGAGAGCGAAAACTGAAATACACGCAGAAAAACCTCTCGGAGCAAGGACGAGAACCAACAACAAACTCAACCAACATACATGTATGGTGTCGGCGCCAGGATTCGAACCCGGACCACATTGGTAGGAGGCGAGTGCTCTCACCACTGCGCCACTCCGCATTTTTGTTAGTTCTGGGGCAGTCCACTGCTTTGTAGCCGCTGCTACTTAAAAGTCATTAAAACATATTTGCCTGACTCTTAAAAAAAATGACAGAAGTGAAACGAACATTGCAAACAAATTAGTCACTCTGACGTCATTTGTCCCTCTGTAGCAGACCCAGTGAAAATCTGCCCAGTGGCTCGATCCAGTCTGTCCAGTGATAATTTATCCTCCCGGATACCTGGAGAATAGTTTTTTTACTCGAATACAATGATTTTTTGCTTTCCCGTTCACTTTCTATTGTGGCTCATACAAAATCCGAGTGTATTTCGTTATTCATATTCGTTTGAAAGAAGCAAAAATATAAAACATAATCACCATTGACAAAATCAGGTTTTCAAGGGTTTCATACCGGTAGAGATGTAAGGCCTGTTACTCATTTTAGCTTTTATGAGAGATACACAACTAAGAAGAAAAACCCAGTGCAAAATAGACAAGCCCGGTGACGTTTTCTCCGGTAAACCAGTGAAGATATAGATTTCACTGGTCATGTTAAAGAATGATGTTCATGATCATTAGCCGATATAATGGCGATCATTATAACCCCTTTCTGTTTATATGGAACCGAAGAGAATTTTTGTTTCTAATAACATGTTAAGCATCAAAAGTTAGCCTGTCAAGAGAGTAAAGTTTGTGAGTTTTTGTTTTAAACATTGATTTTCTGACTTCCATTTGCAGTTGTCAACTCTGAAGCATGTTCCTTTGCTGTTAACGGATCCAGTGGGTTCATCAGCTTTAGCAGTGCAACCGACAAATTCACGCGTTGCACGTGGATCATCACAGCACCATCCAACCACACCGTCAAACTAACGACATTTCGTCTATTTGGTTCTCCCTATGATAAACCAGAGATCCAAGTTTACGACGGAAAAAGGAAAAATGATACCGTACTGGGAGTTTTTACTATTATACAGCCCTTTATCATACAAACAAGTGGTCGATTCATGATGTTGACTTTAAAAAAGAAGTATTGGTCTACCCCTTGTATCTTAAAAGGAGCATATGACACGAGTTCAAGAAAAGGTTAGCGATATTAAGTTATCAAAACAACAGAATATGAACTGCATAAGAATGCTAATTAGCTCCTCACTAAAATATATTCTTGGGGGGCGCAACCGATTCGGAGTAATGGATGCGTCTTAAAGGCTTTGAAAGTTTTTCAATTGATCCGTGAGTAAATTAATACAACTGTATTCTAAATGGTCTACTAATTGAGAGCCTAACACGGTTCTGTACTACACTAATTATCTCTAAGCGCAAAGAGCAAAGATTTTAGAAATGTCATGAATTACCGTAATTTACGAAAAATAGTTTGAATTCAATGCTGCGGTGGCTCATAAGGACTAAACACTTCCCAGATTCCAAAACACTTCCCAGAATCCAAAACACGTCCCAGAATCCAAAACACGTCCCAGAATCCAAAACACTTCCCAGAATCCAAAACACGTCCCAGAATCCACAAACACTTCCCAGAATCCAAAACACTTCCCAGAATCCAAAACCACATCCCAGAATCTAAAGCAGGTCCCAGGATCCAAAAACACATCCCAGAATCTGGATTCTGGAAAGTGTTTTTGAATTCTGGGAAGTGTTTTGGATTCTGGGAAGTGTTTTTGGATTCTGGGAAGTGTTTTGGATTCTGGGAAGTGTTTTGGCCTTACAAGCCACCGTACAATGCGATTGCATAAGCGAAAACTACCTTGAAAATAGTGAACTAAACCGTTGTACTGTGAAAAGAATTTGAAATCCCGACTTTACATTCGGTTATTGAAGTTCGTGTTTTTGTCCGATGTTGAGTTCAGGTCATTTTGCGTAAAATTTAGTGGTCTTAAGGTCGAGCAACAAAAAAAAAACATGCAACTTGGTTTGCAACATTGCTGCAAAACGAGTTGCGAGGCCATGTTCCGCGTTTTACCACCCACATCAAACCAGTCCTGCAACAAATCAGGTTGTTAACGGGTTTGGACGACAGTGGTAAAACGCACAACATCGCTTTTCAACTCGTTTTGCAGTAATGTTGCATAACAAGTTGGATGTTTTTTGTTGCCCGTTTTACCGAAGCTTTATAAGCGAACTAAGACTCCTCGAAAAATCATATTAAAGTCAGCGAATATTCAACGTACAGATTTATATTTGGTCTCTTTAAAGCTTAGGAAGTCTACTTTTCAGGAAAAAAAACAAAGATTTATGGTGCGCCGATGAAGCCTTCCGAATCATTTTGCTTCAAAGACGCAATAAATTTTGCGGCGTTATTATTTTATCTAAGCGGCAAGCAATAGGAATTCCAGAGGGCAAATGCGACAGCTATACACGTATGATGCAAATGATGTAAATGAATCCACCCAACGATTGGTTGAAGACGGGAAGAGCACGGGACTCACAAACACGCAAGCGGCTCGTGGATTCTCTGTTCTGTATCACGTGTTCGCTCGAAAACAATGCATTCTCTTATCTGCATTGCGTCATAAAAGTTACCTTAATCAACTATATGTTACAGTCGAACCTCTCTAATACGGACACCGAAGGGACAGAGCGAAGTGTCCGTATTAGAGAGGTGTCCGTATAAAAGAGGTCATTATGATGACGTCACTTCTTTGACTCCACTTACAGTTTTAAGAGTTCAGTAGCTGAAACCAGGCTTACACTCGCCTTTAAACTGCGTTTAAGTCTATTAATTCACTGTACAAAAACACTTTCAGTAGCAGACAACATTGTACATATCAGCTACATACGTACATTCGTAGACAAATCACTGTTTTAAGATGAAACGAGCTACAGCGCAATGCTGCATGTAAAAAGTTTTAACGTAAAGCACAATTCTGAAAGTGTCTTTCGCTATTTTGCAAGTGCAGTTAACAGTAACTGGAGTACAAAATGTAATAGAAAAGATCTATACGCTATCTGTAGTTATTCAAGCTTTTAAAAAGTCGGTTATGTTCATCTGTACACATTTTGCAAATTAATTGTTTGGTATACAGCGACTGGGCAGACATCAGCCAGACTAGACGGGATTTACCCTGTGCAAATTCACCTGACTCTCCGTAATAGAGAGGTTACGTTTATGTGAATTTACTCTCTGGGGCCGAGATTTAGTGTCCGTTGTCCGTTTTAGAGAGATTCCGTATTATAGAGGGTTTTTTTAAGAAAATATATGAGAATTTTGTCGGGACATTGAAAACTGTCTGTAATATATAGGTGTCCGTCTTAGAGAGGTGCCCGTACCGAGAGGTTCGACTGTACATGGATTCGAGATTCATTCTGCCTTTTGGATGTTCGCGTACGGCTTTAAAAGGCTGCCGACTGCCGCCTAGCAGCCTCGAGAAGACACGAGGCTGCTCGTTGGCAATAATTGGGAAAGCCTAGGGAAAAAAAGTTAAACGGCGAAATATTTTACAGAATTGTCATCGACGAATGAATAAATCAATAAATAAGTAAGAAGATAAACATTCTAAGGAAACATTTAATGGAATTAAACATGGTGACCTAGTTTTCTGTCAAGTCTAAACTACTCCTTTAATTTTATACATTTTATTTTACTTAACCTCATTGAGGCTTTTCAAACACAATAATTGAAATTTAATTACATAAAAAGATAATTCATTATAATGGAAAAGCTACTTTGAGGACACTAAAATATTTACAATAATATTATATCAGAAGTATGGCCTATTTAAATTAATTTAAAAACTAACTTCAAAACTCTGAGAAAAATATTTGCACTAAAATTTAATTGACTTGATAAAATACTTATCTATATCCTTGACGTGTTACGCTTCAGATCGAACTTGAAAGTAGACACTGACTCATGAGTTTTAAGATAGCTATCCATGGAGTTCCAGATACTGACTATTCTATTATAAAACGTCCTCTGACCACTAACAGTCTTGAAAAGTCGAATGTTCGGTATCTTTAAACTTCTCGTGGCACGCCCGCTTATTTCTCCTCGCTTAATGAACTGGAAGGAAAGGTTTTCCGGCACGCGGGAAGTTAGGCATTTAAAGGCCAAAATAGCGTTTTAAAAGTATAAGTGAGTTGCTACTAGTAGCCATTTATGCTCTTCTAAAACTGGTGTGATGTGATCATATTTGCGCGTACGTACTGGTCGCAATTGGAGCAGCAAAGTTCTGAATATTTTTTAACTTACTGATACCATTTTTGCCCAATACGTTCGAACAATAAAAACGTTTACTAAAAACTAAAGCATTTATGATATACAGGCCCAGAACAACCTTATAACTATAAACCTTACTAAAGGGTAACGTTGAAAAACATCTCCCCACTATTACTTTGGATATCAAACAGGAAGTATTTCTCAAGCTTTCAGACGTTTAGTTTCATAGTAATGCTACAAACTGGGACAAGCAAATCGACTTTCTTCTCGGCAAAACAGGAAGGCGTATGGACATATTATGAGTGTGCACGAAGTATGGCTATAGTCTGGACTCTTTACAACACCTCTTCCATAGTCTGATTATACCTCTTTTTACTTATGGCATTTCAGTATGGGGTGTTGCAAGTTATGAAAGGTATCTTTCTAAAATTGATAAGTTTCAGAAGAGAACAGTTCGTTTTGGCTTTCTTAAGGAGGCCACGCTCATTTTAAGAGCGTCTGTCCGTAAAAATCAAACATATCGCGGCAAGGGAGGAAAATTCGATTTCTTTCATATTTTAATGTTAGATAGGCTAGGGTATAATTATAATCACTGTATGTTTTTTTTGGTGAAATATCCTTTTATTTCAGAGATAAATGCAAATATCCAAAATCCGTTGAAATCGCCATTTGAGGCGATCAATTTTTACATGGGTTTGAAAGCCTCGGGTGCAAAAACCGATTCCTCTACCGTCTTTTAAACATCACAGCCTTCTTTTACAACTTCTAAATATCTGTTAAAATGATTTGAGGAGCTAGTGCTCTGTTCTTTGTATACAAAATAATTTAATTTCGAAGGCATACAATTTACTTCAATAAAAGTAATGCGTGAAAAAACATAATTTTCACCATGTGCGAAACCTTCAAATCGATTAAGCTGCAGGTGGTTGAATGTTAGAAGGATGGTCTAGTGATTCCTGTAAAAATTTCTTTGGGAAAATGATTACTAGCGACGCGAGAGCTTTACAGAATCTGTTAAAAATGCAGATATTAACCTTCCGCGTTCAACTTTGAAGTTGCCAGTCGGACAAAATTTAGTCCCTTCACTCGTCTAAACCCACAGTAGATTAAAACAAGCAGATGGGAAACCGTTTTAAATGTTCATACCTTAAAATCTGCTGTAAAAGACGAGTCCAAAGGCCATTTTAGCCCGATTATCGAGACCTTTGATCTTTGCCTTGTAACGCGCGTGTAATTGTACACCACGCCAACTGTCAACTTATTCACAGGACAAATACAATTCTTTGATCCACTTTAGGGGATTTTCATTACGACTGCATCTTTTTCAACAGCTCAGTCATTTGTTAAACATTGCTTAGAATGTATAGTATCTGAAAACATTACCAGAGATTACATCTGATTGCTACAACAGAATGACCCAAAAATGCCGGTGCTCAAATCTTGAATTGCAGGCAGCCGTTTGTAAGTCACGCAATCCAATTTAGGTGGGGTGGAGAAGGGTGAAGTAGCAAACGGCCACAACGAGAACAACAGCAATAATTGAGGCTAAGTTCACACTATGCTAGATAGCTTTTCGTGCAGACACAAAAAGCTATCCGGTCAAGTATGAACACCTATCCAGTAGGTGATACTCCTGTTTAGAGATCGGTGCGTCTCAGCTTTGCTTCACCCTTCTGTTCGTGAACAGAAGCCCTATTCAGTATGCTTTCTTTTTGTGCCGGCACAAAAGCTCTCCGGTATAGAGTGAATAAAGACAATCTATAACTTAAGATAGTGATACCCTTAGACACGGTCTTTCCCTGTTAAAATCCAAATACTGGTGATTTTAGTTATTCACAACTTTGGTTGTCAGCTCCCGGACTTGGTGATTTTATTAAAGGGTATCAGGACCGTTATCAGTACCACAACCTGCCGAAAGAAGCCGTACTTGAAGCTGTTGAAGAATTTCGCACAAGGCTGCAGCTGCAATTCTGTAGAACAAACTCTAACATAAGCATGCAGTCATAGTCTAGGGACGTCTAGCATTAAGGTCATTTCGCAACTCTTAATTCCCTTCAGGGCCGACCATGGGTTTTGCGTATACAGTATACAGAGAATACTTCATGGAAAGTGCTGGCGTACGGTATTTACGCACGAGTTGTTGACGTATCAGAAATCGAAATCGAACGAGTAAGCGCAGCGAACGAGTAAGATTTCTGATACAAAAACGAGTGTGTAAATACCGTACAAAGCACTTTCCATGTGGTATTGTGTTTATTATATACATACTGAGACATTCATCATTTTGGCGGCCTTTTTATTTTAAACTCAAAAATGCTAAAATTTGCCGCTACACACTTACCGCAAAATGACAACGAAAACGAAGTATCAGCTTTTTAATAAAAACGTTTGTTAAAAACATAAATGACGGTAAGGATATGAGGTAATCCAAGAACTACAATTAATCTTAATTGTTTGTTCTCAGTGTACAATTGAAAATGAGTGAATTTAAGTAAAATGGCCGGTTTCAATATAAGCTTAAGCTTAAATGAAAGGCAAAGTAGCTCCGACAAAAAGCACAACAAAAGCTTACGTCTCGTTCTGTTTATCCCTTTCCGCTGTTGTTTCGCCGGCTGTCTACCGTTTTCTTTATCGACAATGAAACAAACGAAACTATTCCACTCCATTTCCGAATTGTTTTCCACTTTTTTAGCGAGAAAAACTCTTTGAATGAAACTTTACTCGTTGAATCTGTGCGAAGCGGCGCTGCAAGCTGCAATAAAAGGTGGGAATTTTGGCGCGAAACTCACACACCTCTGTGGCTTCTGATTGGACGTATCATCCTCTGATTGGCTAGAACTAATTTGCGTACGAAAATTTACGACATAGCTTTTTGGTGAGTATTTCTCAGTATGTATATAATAAATTGGGGTATTTAATTTCAGGTATACAACATTTTTATGCTTAAAATTGGGTATAAAGTATTCACTCACAATTAATTCTGGGTATAAACCATACCGTGGTTTTCTTAATTTTGGTATTTTACACTATTTTTAATATAGTTTTTGGTATATTGCAAGGCAGTTATTTCGGGGATTTTTGTAGCGGAGCTCTGCGCGCGCGCGCGCGCGTGGACGGAGCCCCATAGCTAAGTAAAAGCCAACGAGGCGCGTAGCGCCAAGTTGGCTATAACTGTCTTATATCCAACAAGCGCGAATGGAATAAAGGTTTTATTAAATTTTTTAAACTCCAAACGTCTGGCTATTACAACGGAATTCTAGTAAATTTCATTTTAAATATTACAAAACGACCGGATATTAATGTAACTTCCGGTAAACCAAGGGAAAATCACATGACAAGTGCGCCGTTTGCGATTTTAGTTGAATGAAATTTTGTGAGCGTCACAAATTCTGCAGAGGGCCCTTTGGTGGATCTCCTCCCACCCAGTAGAACAACATTGCTAAGGAATCGTGATCACTCCTATGTACTTCCTGAAATTAGAACTAAACGTTTTAAATGCTGTTTTATAAATAGGTTTCCTTTTAATTTTACTATTAAATTGTCAGTTGTAATCCGGAACGTTTGTTTTTGAAATCAATGAAGAGCTTATTTATTTATTCATTTAATAGCGGAGTGCGTTTGTCAAAAACATGCTTTGTGCGGATTATTTGACTGCAGCAAGACATACAGAAGGAGAGAGTTTTGGTAATGTGTTCGTCATAGATTAAATTAGTGTCCAAAATCACCCCAAGGTCTTTAGTGGTGTGTTCTAGTACGGGTTCTCTTCCCATGAAAGTGAGGCTGGGAGTGACCAATCTGGAATGCATTGGCCTACTACCAAACACCATAACTTAAGTTTTGCTTGGATTCAACAAATAAGGTTGTTGGAACACCATTGTCCTATTCTATGCAAGTAGTCTCTTAAGTCTGCAAAGGGGTTCACAATATCTTTCATTTTGAAGGATATAACCTGCCTAGTGTCGTCTACATAGCTCTGGACGCTGCATTTCTCAGGTGCTGAAGGAAGATCGATTAGTGTATATGCTAAATAAAAGTGGTCCGAGTATACTTCCCCGCTAAACGCCGCAGTGAATGGGTAAGGGCTCTGACAATATTGAAAGGATTCGAACCACTTTTCGTCTTTCATTAAGGTAGCTACAAAACCACTGGATAACAGAGTTTGAGGCGCCTACATCTTGCATTTTCAACATTAGAGGTTCGGGGCTGACACGGCCGTCGAAAGCCTTGCTCATGTCTAAGAACATTGCCGAAGTCTACATCTTTTGGTCTATCGCTATAAGAATAGTGTCAGTTGTTTCTATGACAGATGTTTCCGTCGAATGCCGTTTTTGTTTTTGCCTCTTTGGTCTTTGTTAACCTATCATTTAATTGCAATGTGAATTGATTGTGTACGACCCTTTCACAAACTTTTGACGAAATCGTTAAAAGCGAAATTAGTCTGTTGTTATTTGCTAATTCATGGTTTTCAGTTTAAGTGAGAGGTCTTACTTTCTTACTTTCCAAGTGGTGGGAAATTTGCATGGTTCAATAGAAGTGTTAATAATAGACGTGATTACTGAAAGAATTGGTCTTTTAAAACACGAACAGAAATCTTGTCGATCCCTAGGACTTTGTTTGATTGCATTGATGATATTCTGCGTTCGATGTCAACACTGCCTATGGTATTCAAATGAAACTGATCACCCAAAGGGTTTTTTAGTTTTGTCTTAGTTCAATTTAACAAGGAATAAAGGTTTTACGCATGTAGCTTAATATTTATTGACATAAAGAGAGTTACATAACGATATGAACGCGTACAGAGCCGTAAATCTCCTGTGAAATATTATACTCAACGTGGAATGTGGTGGAGTGTAGAATGACAGAAAGACGGAAATGGTGAGGGCTGCATAGTAACGTAAACCTTACAAATCAAAAAAAGTTTCGTTTTATTTTTTCCCTAGGAAAAAAAAAATGAAAGAAAAACGCTTAAGATGTTATTCCCTCTTAATCAGTAACACTTAAATGAATGAAAAAAAATTCATGAATGCGAGAAATGTAGCGTAAATCTAGTATACCAAGGAAACCTCTGCTTTTCAGTAATAACAAACTGTGACCAAAACAACAAAAATACATTATTCCTTTCAGCTACTGGCCCCGTGGCCTTACTTGAAGGTGCTTACATTGTTCACCTGCATTGATCTTAGAAAACGCTGTCATGTAAACAAACCCCTGGCCTGAAGTTCTGATCACCGTTGTCAAAAGCTTTCTGGGAAGTTGTAGGAGGAAAATTTTATAGTACCGTTAGATCAAACTTTTTCTATTGACAGTTCAAGAAAACTGACGGTTTATTGGTACATGATGTGAAACTTAGTTTAAATTCCCAACGATTTGATGACGCGATTCAAATCCTGAAGTACGTGATATCATAAATACGGCTCCCCTGTATTCTTACTGACTATCATTTATTTGTTTCCCGAGTGTGTAAAGTGGGACGTTTTACAACAACGTGAGATAGTATTGAAACGCTTAAATTTGAAAGGGATGGCCCAAAACGATAATACGACGCATGTCCGAGTCTGACTTACGGCAGGCCAATTTCAGTTACAGTGTAAATTAAAAGTATTCCCGTACTTATTTCAAACGACGAACTTACGAATACCCTCCAATCTCTGTGCTAAAATTCTTGAGTATCGTTTAGCATGGTGTTCTACAAGAGAGTACAGTAATAACTTATCCTTTGGGAGTCTTATTTAAGTAGAATTGATCAACTTTAATTCAATTAACTTGCAACCTGATATGACTTGAAATCGGGACATCTTAAAAACTTGCTAAATTGTCTTTTTCAGAAAAGCCGAGGATAAGGGTACCGTTGGCGGAGGTGCGAACTGTACCAGAGCATTATATCTGGTTTCTGCTGGAAGGTACCCCACCGATTAACTTGACTCTAATAAATACATCAACAGCTTTGAAGGGCGGTTTGGTCATAAAAGGATTCAAACTAAATCGGACGGGTACCTACCAGTACACTCTACTAGCAGAAAATGAAGAAGGAACTGATTCAATGACGGTTGAAGTAACCGTTCTGGGTAAGGATCCAATACTGTTTAATTTCATTTCAATGTAGATAATATATGGGGTTTACGAGCAACTCGCCCGCTGAGCGTAGAGGTACCAGATATCTGAGTTTACATCTTGGCGTTCTTTAATCTTTACAGCAGCTCATATGTCTTGTTTATAGCATCACTTAACGAATTCTGCTCGACAACTAACTGTAACTAATCTCAACTACTAACTAACTTGGGCTAAATACTGGCAACTTATATAAGTAAAACGTAGGTACCTTCAGGCTTGCTGACCATGAGCGTTACAAACGCTTTTCCGAATGACTTAAACGAATTTTCTGTTGACAACCAAAGTGGAATAAACAAACCCATAAGAAAACCACGAGATTTTACCTTAAACCAAAACAGGAACTCTGGTGTAGGTAACAGTCAAGGTCAGGGATCGTTCCAAAACGTGCCCAATTCAAGGACTGACACTCAAATTTAATAAGTGACATTCATGTTGAAAAACTACTTTAAAAGGCAATAGAATATACGGATTAACCTTGATCTATAAACTGATAATAACAAGACTCTAGTCTCGAGTGAAACGTCAGGCACAAACACGAAATAAACTTAAAATAACCTACAAAATACTTCACAACATTCCTACCTCCTTAGAAGAGGCATCGTCCTCGATGAAATTGGACGTATATAAATGAAAAAGTAAGGAACAAACGTAACTAGCGGAAGAAAACTAAGGAAAATTTGAAAAAGTACTGAGGAAATAATGTGAAATATCAAAACGACTATAAAACTACCACTAATATTAATCAAGAGTTCAACGTTAAATGTCCAAAGTGGATGAAAGTTCTTGAATCCTGAGTGCTTGAAAACAAATGCATGTTAGCGTTCTAGTGTGAACATCTTGAAAAAGTTTAGACTGGTAGACAGATTCATCTTGTAGGGGAATAGACGACGATTCGTGCTGCAATTTATCTCGTCTTGTAAATTAGCGCTGTCTGCTGACTTCATACTGAGGTTGTTTGAAGCAGACAATGCATATCTCGTGAATAGCTGGCTATCTTGCTTCTAACATATGCTTTTGTTATAACACAATTTCATGAAAAAGCAGCGAGCTTGTCTGTTAAAGATAGAATGTACTGGCCAGTAATAGAATAAACAGGCATAGTTCGCCTTAAACATAACCAAGTAGAGGTCAAACTCCACCACATAATCGAACATAGCACGGCCAACGTTTTAAATCTACGTGTGTTTTGACTTCCCCTCTTCTCCAGTTATGTACAGTTCCACTTCACAGGAGTAGATTAATGAAGATTCGACGAACCGTTGAATAAATGATGAATTACCATTGCAAACAAGTGAACAAGATAGCTACAAAAAGGACTCCAGCTATCTAATCACCTAAAACTTACGGCTCAGCAAAATAACATAATACCCAGTCTCAAACAAAATCTATCAGTCAAAATCAAAATTCATTTACACTCGACAACATTTAAAGCTTGGTAGCTTGACGTGTGGTATATAAAAAGCGACACTTAACGAGTAAAGATTACAATATATTGGAAAAAGTACAAGCTTAAAACATAATCGTCAAAAGAGACTTCAAAGCATCGGACACAATAATCTTAGATAAAGAAAGAAAACTTATTACAATTAAAGATGAAAAGCTTACATAAAACCCTAACGCTACAAAGATTAGAGAGAGAGAGAGAGAGAGAGAGAGAGAGAGAGAGAGAGAGAGAGAGAGAGAGAGAGAGAGAGAGAGAGAGAGAGAGAGAGAGAGAGAGAGAGAGAGGACGCTCATGAATCCATCGATAAAAATAAATTTGGGAAAAGTGAATAGAAGTTTAAGTAAAAACACAAAACACAAACCCAGCAGCAAGGCAGACTATAACAAACTATAGACTAAGACTATTTTGGTGACCGGAGATAATTATCAATGAGACGTTTATCCAAAATATTTTCGTCCGGTTTCCACGTTGATTGGCTCTTAGGATAGTTGAGCCACTTGACCAAGTACTCAACCTTTCCTTTTCTCTTTCGATGTTTTAGAATTTTTCTGCTCTAAACACAGTTTTATTGTCGATAAAAATTGCTTCCGGAGTTGGTTCTTTTTCATTTTGAAGCTGATTCTTTGTCTTTTCTTGGTCTGATTCTTTGTTTGATTCTTTCTCTTCATGAGATTGTGGGGCCACTAACGCTTGTTCTCCAACAGGATTTAATTCAATGTCTAAAGGATTCTCTTCAACAAGCACAGAACTATTTGGCTCAAAACAATCTTTTGGAATATCAGATTCATCTAAATATGGCTCGGCAGGATCATCAAAAAGCGGAGAGTCAATTGGCCTCAAATTTGGATCAACAAACGGCTTCATACGATTTGCGTGACACGAAAAAGCACCTTTTTTGTTGGCGACCGTGCGCAACTTAAAATGCACTGGTGACTTTTCAACGATTCTGTATGGACCCAACCAGTTATGCATTAACTTTTTGGATAATCCTTTTCTAGTTCTCGGAGTATAAACCCAAACACGTTGACCAACTTCAAAAACAGGTTCTTTTGTCTTTTGATCGTAATAATCCTTCATTTTCTGTTGTGCACGTTGTAAATTTTCACTGGCTAGATTTTGCGCTAACTCGACCTTTTCGACAACACGTTTTCGATAGTCAAGGGCCGAAGTACTCAATTAAAAATCATCAGCCGCAGCAGGTAAATACTTAAGGTCAATTGGCAAGCGTGGCTCTCGCCCATAAAGAACGTAAAAAGGAGAATCCCCAGTCTCATCTAAAACAGAAGTCCTATGCGCAAACAAAATAAGCGGTATGAACTCGTCCCAATCTTTCTGGTTTTTGGAAACCTACATTGACAACGACTGACACAAGGTAGAATTAAACCTTTCTACAAGACCATCGGTCTGTGGGTGATAACTGGAAGTATTGATCTTTTGAATTTGAAATATATTACAAACCTCTGCAGCGACTTAAGATAAAAAGTTAGTTCCCCTGTCAGAAAGCAACACACGTGGTGCCCCATGTCTAGAAATAATTTCATCAACCAAAAGACGTGCAATTACAGTTGCTTGTACACTAGGCACTGGGAATGCTTGGACCCAACGAGTCAAATAATCACTAAAAACTACAATATACCTACTGCCTTTACTAGAAAGTGGAAAAGGACCTAAAACATCAAGAGCGACTATACAAATGCACTCTCGACTGGAATCGGAAGTAAAGATGCCTTTTTCGAATTTCGAGGAGACTTCCTCATTGAACACTCAACGCAAGACTTATAAACACAATGTTCTACATCTTTAAATCATCTTTCCACCAGCATCCTGCGTTAAGTTTACTAAAAGTTTCGTTCAAGCCAAAATGAGCACCGGCAATATGATCATGTACATTAGAGCGAATTTCAAAACGTAATGCAGCTGGGACAACAAGCTGAGAAAAAGATTCACGAGCATTTCGCCTTCGATTAAAATCAATGTGGTAAAGCAAATCATCTGGACCAATATAAAAATTATCGCTTGTGAGTAAAATCTTGCGTGCATCTTTATCGGTGGCAGGTAGGATACCATACTCTAGAAAATCAATCATTGCAGCTTATTCAGGGTCTCTTCTTTGCATTTCTTGAGTGTGGGGCGTTTGAGGTTCTTCTTCCTTGGGCGAACTTATTTCACAAGAATCATATGGACGTCTAGACAAACAATCAACATTACCATGGATTCTACCACGGCGATGAACAATATTAAAGTCATATTGTTGCAAAAGTGTCTTGCTAGACGACTGTCTTCGGAACGTGAACGTTTCGACCAGTTTTGGTGGATGACGCTACCAACACTCGCCAAAGATTGTGTTACTCCCGATTGCCTCCAAATTTGGCTCACAGGAAGTTAATAGATTTAGCCAATTATGTGCCAAGTTCCAGCTCCCGAGGAGTTTTGAGCTTTTCGAAACGATTTTTTTCAAATCTAGTAAAAATGGCGCTTCCGTCGGGAAGAATTTTGTCGCGGCTTTTGCGAAGAATGAAAGCTTGTATCGACGAATTTCGACCAAATACAAGTCAAGCAAATTATTTTGGAGGATTCTGGAGGATAACAAGCGAAATAAACGCGAAAATAGAGGTAAGAAAACAGTAAGAACTTTTGCTTCAAATTCCCCGAGTAGGCTATAGTCTGGCACACATTCTGTTGAAACGCAGTGAAATTCGTCCCGCAGAGCTTTTTGCCTTCAAAGCCTTGCTTATTTTGATGACTTATATCAGTGAATTCATGTTTGCTTGTTTTTAACTCGATATTTCACCGAGAAACTAAGAAATGAAGCGTGCTTTCGAAATTACACATCGGGCCACGAGGTGACGCTATAGTATCTAGTTTCCCTATACTAATTAGCCCTGACCTCATTTGCATAATCCGATAGGGTCACAAAATAAATTTGCAGAAAATTGTTAGTCGCTCTATATTTTCGACCGATATTCGGGCTGTTTTACTTAGATATTGAAGAAAAAGAGTATTTGTACTGTATTACATAAAATATACAACGTTTCTGGCAAAATTACACTCTTAAAATTTTTTAAAAATAATTATCTAGAAATATGCCGTGTTTGTTTTTTTTTGTGCGTAATATTATGGGTTCCCTAAGACCGAAATATTTGTTTTCTAAAAGTTCAATATTTGCTCTTTGCAATGAGGTATAACTTGATATGGAACTGTAAATAACAGCAGAGATATAATTCTTTTAAGTTGCATGGTCAAAAATACTTAAAATACGTTCCGAAGACAATGACCAACGAAGTGAGCTACGATCAGTAACTCAGTACAGTGAAATTACGAGTGTGTAAATAAGGCTGAAGTTTCTTAATACCCTCAACGAGTGCAAGCACTTCTCTCTCTGTAGTACTAATATATAGATTTAGCCAGGGCTAAAAGCGAAGCTCCAATTAAGAAATTTATAATTTAAATCAAACAATAAACTTTTAATCCACAAATCATTTAACTTAACGGCACATTCATGTGACTTTTGAGGGAAAGGCTAAGTTATTTTAGAGTGAAACATCTACATCGAATTGATAACCTTTATATGTACACCCAAAAAATAGCAAACATCTTCGATCACATTCAAGATCACAGTAGATTAGGCCTCGAAAACAAATTCTTGCAAAACAATTCACGCCAAATTTTTTTGCCTTCGACAGGTTTACTTTACAAATTCTTGCCGACAAATCTGGGGGTGTTTAAACCAACCTTTTATAATTTTTATACACCACATTTGAGGTGAAACAGTACTATTTATCATACAGAGCTCGGACAGAATGCGGTATTTCACAATTTTTCAAGACAAATGGCACTCAGTCAATATTCAGGACAAGCCAAACCGTTCAAAAATTTCAGAAAATTTCCAAAATCACCTATACGGCCAGCTGGTTCTCGTTTCTATAGTGCGAGCTGTCAGTGTGGTCGAGTGTTTGAATGAACTTTAACAGAGTTACGCTTCAACATAATAGCGAATTTATTATTATTTGTTTTGTTATTTAATGGTTTCAGTTATAACGATGTGTAATCTTATAAAGCGTTTGATACGCGCGACATTTTTTAGTACTCCTGCAAGCGATGGTCATGAACGATGAAAACAAACGGCACGGACAAGCGATTAAAATTACAAGAGAGACTACTAACAATCAAAAAAAGAGATATAATTCCGTGAGACATTTACAGAGACAAAAATTTTCATTCACTAAAACAAGTATTAAAGTGTCTCTAAGCGTAAAGCTTAAGTTTATGTTTTAGCCGGCTTCCCGGAGCGGTGTTTACTGTTTTCGAAGGTGAACTCCTCGAAGCAAGAAAATCGCTCAAAGTTTTCTTTCTACAGCCAAATTTATAACTAAGTATTCTTCGGAACGTTTTCTTTCTATTTGTGGTGAGCAAATATATCTGAAGGCTTTTTAAAGTTCTGTAAGATTATATCAAACCTAATCCTAGGTCAGATAATTGACTCAAATCCTACAAACGTGCATAAAATTGCCGCATAAACTGTCAGCGTGAACTGTACAAGACTTCATGAAATTAGATATAACAAAAACAAACATCAAATACAATAATTACTTAGGCTTACCATTCGAGATTCAGTTCCTGAAAGCTATCAAGGAAGGTCACAGTTGCTTGAGACTTTTAAACCCTCTTACGCATTAAGCAAGGTGAAAAACGAAAACGATGCCATCCGAAATCGAATTACCGAATTTTGACAAGCGACGCATTTCTCAACCAAAAACTCAGTAAACAAACCAGCCATGAATAACAGAAGACCCTTGATAGCAGCCGTATTTCATTTTGCACATCCAGAGGAAAAAGACAGTTAAAAACATCACAAGTTGACACAAAACTCTGTCAGCTTCAGCTGTCAAAGTAAACTACTTTCAAGATGCTGCACAATTTTTCCGCGTGAACTCACCTGTCAAATTTTGACCAATCAGAGTATAAAAATTGGACGTAGAGCGTGACCAACGCGTGACCATGGTAAGATAAGGTCTTCCCCGCCTGTACTTTTAAAAAAACTGGATGAATTTTCGCTTCCGAGGTCAGTTTGAAATCAAAATCCTAATAGTGCGGAGCCATAGTGACAAAAAACACAACATATTTGATATGAATCCTTGGAAAAAATAGACTTGAGCCTGCGATCATTTGAAACTGGTAAATTGTCAATGGATAACTTTTAAAAAATACTCGACCTCGATGGGTCGACACTTGAGCCCGCGGTACGGTCAAATGATACTAGTCAGCGGATGCCCTGTTTTGATAGCTGTCAATTGATCACAACTCTGATGTGTAATTAGTTTTCTCTTGGGCTCCCAAACTAGCTAAAAGTGTGAGAGTAAACAATGGTTTTCCTGTGGTGCGGACGGACGGTGGGCGGTCGGTCGGTGTACGGTCACGTGATTACCAAATTTTCTGGGATGGGTAGATTTACTGAGCAGTGGAGCTCCGCTATAATTTAGGTCTACCCGATTCAAACCACGAGCATTGTAAGCAATGACTACCCCCTTTACATTTGAACTTGCGCTTAGGTAAAACCAATACCAGTGGAGCTAATAATAAAAATTGTTCCCGAAAATTAGGATATGCCAAAATTGGTGCAGAAACCAAGGCAAGCTTAAGCTTGTCAAAAGCCGCAACACAAGCTACAGTTCAATCAAAAGGAACGTTCCTCTTTGTCTAAGCATTCAAAGGGTTAGCAACATTTGAAAAACCTCTTACAAAACGTCTGTAATAATTAGCAAAACCTAAGAAACTCCTCAATTCCTTCAGCTTTGTGGGGGTGGGGAATTCCTGAATTACCCTTACTTTGTCAGGGTTGGGACTAATGCCTTCTGGCGTAAACTACTTGACCGAGATACTCTAGTCTTTGTTCAACGAAACTTTATTTCTTTGGATTCAACTTAACATTGACGTCACACAGCCTTCTAAAAACCTCCTCCAAATGGACTAAATGCTCATCTACAGACTTAGAGAAAATGATTATATCATAGATGTAATTCAAAGAAAAACGGTATTCTAACCTCTCAAAAGATGATCCATAAGTCTTTGAAAACTGGCTCCTGAATTCACTAATCCAAACGGCATTGTCAGAAATTCATAAAGGCCGTTGTGCGTAGTAAAGGCTGTCTTTTGTTGCGAATCCTGGGGATCAGTTGGGTAGAACATCCCTTGTACAGCATGTCATTAATACTGGTGATGCTATGCTTATTAGGCAAAGGCCGTATAGAGTATATCCTGATGTTAAGAAAGAGATTGACCGTCAGGTGGACGCTTGAAAAAGGAATAATTCAAGAGTCTGTCTCTCCTTGGAGCTCTTCAGTTGTTTTGGTAAAAAAGAAGGATGGGTCATATAGATTTTGTGTTGATTTTCGTAAAGTTAATAAAGTCACTATTAAGTAGATAGCTTTCCCATGTCTTTAGTTGCTGATGCGCTAGATTCGTCGCTGGTGCAAGCGTGTTTTCCTCGTTGGATCTCAAAAGAGGATTTTGGCAGATACAAATG